CTTTAAGTTAACTTTAACCCACAACACTGTGTCATCAGTGAATGTGACCAGTGCTTCGTGCGGCCGTGCCTGCTTTAACGCAAAAAAGCTTGAAGTGTGGGAAAACTACTGTTGCAGCAATGAATTTATTTTTCCAGCTTACTTAAAAAGGACAAGGTTTGGTTCTGTGTGCAAATAAAAGCCTCACTGTGGCTTTTTACAGGTGAGACCACCCAAGAGCTCATGATGGGTACAAATCCTTTCTCTCCTATGAAAACTTTAATACTTATAACCGGATATCAGCAGGGATGCTGTTTGTCTTATTCCTGCGTGCTGTATTTCTCCATTTGCTTCAGGATTTATCCAAACTCAGGGTATGAGTGTTGTTATCACAGGACAAAAAAGTGGAGAGGCAGGATGGTGGGGGAGCTGCAGCCACACATTTGTTTATTATGGTTATTATGTACCCGTGTGTGAAGAATCTAAACAAACAGAAAATGAATAAGATAATTTAGTTAAAACCTGTGAGTTTTAGGGTAGAGATAGGAAGATTCTTCTAACAGGGAAGGCATGGCAATTTGGTTCAGCCTTCTGGAAACAAAAATAAATCTTTCCACTGATTGCAATGTTCACAAGTAAGACTACAGTTTATTCTGTAGCAGATCTTGAAAATACCAGTTTAATTAAATGTAGTTTATGGATGAAAACCATGATCCTAGTATATATACAGAGAGGATGAAGAACTGAGATGATAAATTATAAGAATTTAGTATCAGCATTCCTGTATATGCTATAAAGACTGGATAGTGGGAAAAAAGTATGATAAGGAAAGAACTGATCTCAAAGGCTTCAAAATTTCAAGCTGTTTCAGTTTCCTCATTTGAATGCTAGCCACTGAAATTAATTCAATACTATGAAAACCTACTTTTGCTTTAATTTGTAGCCTTGCCTAGCATTTCATTTCTGTAAATGAGTTGGTAAAATCGAATATGCAGAGCTGCAGTGCCACAGTGTCCTTACCTAGAAACCATTTTTCTGCGTGAATCAGTTTGGTGCCAGTTTACAGTGAAGCACATGGTGCTAATCCCTTTTATGTTGTCAACATTAGTGGATTTGAAATTGCTCTCTGATTTTCATACTGAATGCACATGGAAGATGCCACTACACAGATTTATCAGAGGAAGGGTCTGATGGGGCTGTAGATTCAGACATCTTAATACATGTATTTGCATGAAGGGTCAGTATTCAGTTGCTTAAGCACAGACATCTGGTGTCCCCCAAGAGGCCACAGGTTATTCAGGATGTCATCATGGTACAAGTGAATGTTTCATACGTCCTATGGGAGAGCTATCCCTTCCTGGAATAGGAACTGAGGGTCAGACAGTGTGCTGTGGGACCTCTCAAGTGGTTCCAGGTGTCTTCAGGTAACTGAGCCTCATGTCTGTATGTGAGTTATGTATTTAAACTCAATTTATGGAGAATCGGTTGCCCCAGAAGAATGTGGTTTTAAGTTATTCTTCCTGGACTCCAATGCCTGCACCAGAACGGTAAGTTATGTGTCCTGTCTGGCAGCACCACTGGACGTGACTTGGATACCTTTGAACGTCTCAAATGGCACCAAGTGCTGTGTTTATGTAACTCAGTTCCACCCACAGCCAGTATAATCGGTGGAGTCTGCAGGGCTGTTTTCTTCACCACTACTTGGATTTATGCGTCGTGGTGAGCCAAACGGCTATCTGTTATTTCTTTTAATTCTGTGTATGATGAGAGCTTAAACGCTAAACTGAAACGTGGGCAGCTAAATGTAGGTAACTTCAGTGTGGAGCTGAAGTCTACAGGAGTGGTGTTTGATGAGGGAAAAGTTCATTTTAAACAGACATTCTGCATTGTCATCTGACGCAGTGGCGATGGGATGCATTGGAAATGCTTGTGTATTGATAAACGGCAAATGTGTTTCTTTTACTGTCACCAGCTGTAGAAACCCGTGTATCCTTGTGGCTCAAGAGATTGCCGTTTGTGTACTCAGATCTGGTTGAAATGGCAATGGGTTCTGATGCTGACCTCCCAGCAGTCCAAGGAAATGATCAGCTAGGAGAGCAAGAGAGCAAAATAGTGCTGTAGTATTTTCCCAAAGGTCATAGGAAAAGCAAATCCATAGTCTTAATTATAGCCAATTAAGCTAAGAAAATGCTTCCTTGGGGTTGTTAGTGCTGTAAATGTCACTGTATAATTTAAATCAGTGCTGTTTTTCACATTTTTTCTAGATTAAAATTTCTTGGAGCAAAGATAAGGTCAAGCCATCCGAGAGAGTCTCCCTTAAAATTAGTACAACAGAACCAGGGTCTGTGGTTGGACTTGCAGTTGTTGATAAAAGTACAAAGCTTCTAGGAGAAAGTAGTGACATAAGAGAAGATTCTGTAAGTAAATGGGGAAAAAGCGTTTTCATTATTTTGTGTATGAAAGATGTATGTTTATGGAAATGTTACCGTTTATATGCTGAATGAGTAATGTTCTTTGGGCAGGTTTTTTAGTCTTTAATTATGCAAATATTTTTTACTTCTGCAAGTAGTTTATCAACACAAGTGGAAAAGACTGAGTCTTACAAGGTAATAGGCCCAGCATTTCTAATTCTGAGTAATACTTGTTGTTCTTCCATTTGATAAACTGCTCAGTTAACACTTGGCCGTTTCTTCTTTCAGGAAAGATAAAAAAGTGAGAAAAAACTCCCTAATGATTTGTGCTTTATGCTCTTTAAAATTAGTAAAATATAAAATAAAGAAAGAATTTCATTTTTTGAAGAGCAGAATAAATAATCCATCTTTTTGAATTCCCTTTGCTTGAAGAAGCTCTGGTGCATCAACCATTTGAAAGAGCTGACAATACAGATAATTCCTAAAGTGCGCAAATGCCATAGCCTAAGCACCATAGGATATCAGTGGGCTGTAGGCTCCTGTTTTAGGTTAGGTCGCTCCTCCATTAATCATGAAACCATTGCAGCCTAATCCCCTTCATCCTGTCGCGGATTCTCTTCCGTTTGACATTAGAGCTAATCAAGCTGCTGCTTGAGGTACAGCCCTATGAATTAGCATCTGCAACAGTGAAAGTTCTGAAAAAGGTGAGTTTGTATTCACTCTTTGGGTGATTTTGTTTTTCTTGTCTTAGGTTTTCCATGAGCTCAATTTGTACAGCACAGTACAGTATTTCCCACTGGTCAGAGGTTCTTTTGGTGTCTTTCAGGTACTTTTTTTTTTTTTTAATTCTAAGTTGGGGCTTTTTATTACTTAGTGATTTGCACATCCCTTGCTAGAAGAAACTGCCCTTTTTAAAGGTTGGGACTGTAGATAATGTACTGTGTTCATGGCTTATATGGGTTTTGAACTGTGAAATTTATTAATATGTAAATACTCTGAATGCAAAGAAATACATTTATACTTTCGTAAATATGGATTGCTTATGCTTGATATTGTCTTCCCTTTGAAAAGTTTTTGGTCATTAAGGCAATATTCAGATTCAGATGATCTCAGTTTTATTGATTCCCGTATATTACTTTCTTTAGTTCTTTAATTGCTTTATTATTACTTTATTTTCTCAAAAAGAAGGAAAAGATAAAGAAAATAGATAAGCACTGTCGATGTCCTGAATGTCCTGTATTGAGATATACTGTATAAATTTTATCCAGAAATGCAGCGTTTGGGTATCAACTGATGCAATTCTTGAGGAGGATAAGGAACATTTTCTTTGTAAGTAATAAAAATAAATGTAGCCAAGTCTAATTTACTGAGCGGGGAAGGAGGTCCATGGGTTAGGGCTCCTACTGGGTCGTCTTACTGTACTGCGTACAGGCTGCATTCAGCCCTGTAAACCATGACCCTTTCCAAAGTTCAAGACACACAAAACACATATCACTAGCATTTTCAAAACTTCATTTTTGCTGCTGTTTTGGGCGACACTGCCCATTAGAGGCCTGAGGGTGAATGGGGTTTGATTGCAGTTCCAGTTCATATCTGTGGCAGAGGTTTGTCATGTGTGGCTGTATTACACCGGTTCCCTAAGCACTCCAGAGAAGCCATGTAGAAATTTAAATTTGTGTGAAACTTTTTATTCTTAAAAAACAAGCAAGAAAAAAAAATAATGCCCAATGTCACGGAGTAGTGTTACCATATGTACCAAAGTTATAGATTATACTCTAAACACTGTAGTAGTTTGACTTTTCTTAAATGTATTAACTTGGTTTTTCTTAAACCTCGATATTTGTAGGTAGGACAATATTTTTTATTTTGTAGATGGTGGAATGATACCCATAGAGGATGGTTTCGTTGATGATGTGTCGATTCCTAGAAATGGACCTCTTGATTTCAGCAATCTTTATGTGAGGACAAATTTTCCAGAGACTTGGCTTTGGATTGATACTAAAACTAGGTATAAAATTAGAAGAAAATGGAAACTGATTTACACGTGCTGTTTTTATTTTGTGTGTTTTAGCAGCCTTCTGCACTGGTGCTGAAGAACACTGTTAAAAATGTAGTATTATTTATATTCTGCTACCACCTAGAGGCTACAAGTGAGATTGGAGACCCACCAAATGAGGTGTACCACTGCGCAAAGTGGGACAATGCCTGACTGAAGGCCCTGTAATTTCAACAGAAACTAGATAAAAATCCTGGAGACAAAAGAAACTCTCTTCCTTTTACAGATGAGGAGATAACAGATAGGGAGACCCAGTCTTTTTCTCTACAGGACATGAGAAGATGCTGATGAGCCCAGAAAGGGAAATCTGTTCCTGTCTGCACCTGGTTCAATGAGCAACTCAAACTGTCAAGTGGTGGTGAAAGCTGACCTGTGTCGTGAAGCACGAATCTTGTGTTCTTTCACTGAGAAGTGCTCTTTCTCAAACCGAGAAGTTTGGGAAGCAGCTGTCCTCTGGGATTGTTTTAAAGGACCTGTAAAAGTCAATTATATGTAGTGTGATTCAATGTAATCACCTTACATTAATGTAATTTAAAATAATTTAAACTTTTAAAAATAATTTTGATCCCATCACAAATATTTCTAAATGATTAGGCAAAGAAAAGCAGATAATCAGCAGCTTCTCCTGCCTGGAGTTTGGACTTAACTTTGATGCATTTTAAACATTTGTGTTCATTTACTGGTGTCTGTAAATGGATGCTTTTGAAAGTCTGCTGTCCCCTTCTGCCATCAGATCTGACACAGACACCACAATGGAAGTCATTGTACCGGATACGATCACATCCTGGGTAGCCAGTGCTTTTGTGATGTCTGAAAACAGTGGGCTTGGAGTGACAACGCCGGTGGAGGTACCATGGCAATAGACAGTTCTCCTTTAAACTCTGGTAGCACTGTGGGTTGTTGCTGGAGGCTGTATTTCAGTTCTAACAGAAGCCACCTTCTTATGCTGATAAAGTGATTGAGAGGCTGTGTGTATGCAAACTGTAAAACACCATCATCACTGAGGACATACCTGATACTCCACCTGCCCCCACTTCCTGCTCATGTAAATATCTCAGACATTACACCGATACTTGGGTGCCTATTTTGTTGGAGCACATGTTTTGTTAGAGCACTTTCAGAATCTTCATGTGCAGAAAGAGGAAATAGCTGCCTGAGGACAGCATATTTCCATGTTTTCTTGGCTCTGACAAGAGGGCTTTCCATGAGTGGATGGTGCGTTCAAGGAGGTTTGCACAGACTAGCTGGGGAGAGGTGGCTGGGATGGGAGAGGCGAGTTGTCTGCTGGAAAGATCATGGCACTGCACTGCTCCTCTAACACTTAACCCCAGGAGGCAGGACGGGAGAATTGCTTAAAGGCTAAATTCTGGCCTCACTTTCATTTAATTGTCAAAGTCAGTCCTGGACTAAACATAGGTGCTACTTTTTGGGTAGCTTAGCTTGAGGAGCAGAGTGGACGCTGAGAGCCATTGGTGGGATAAGATTCTTCTTGCTGCTAAGTTCCTGTCTCCTGAAGCTTTTTTTGTGCTTCCAGGTGTTCAAGGAGTTTAGCAATTTAAGCTAACTTCAGCACTCCTCAGGTTAGATCTCTAAGCTGAGATTCCCAGTGTACAAGTGCGGTTGTCCTGGGCTCGCTCTGTGTTCAGGGAAACAGCTGCTTATTGAGCCTGTTGTAGGTGGGAATTGCTTTTCAGAGTCTCATTTATCTAGTATTTTATATACATCGAATAATCCTCTGAAGGTAGTTATCTCCTTATATTCATTATGTAAAGATCCTCGAGAAACTATGTTCCTAACTGAGACAACTCCACTTCAGTGACCAAGGTTAGGAAGGTTGAAACTGGGCAGTACTGGGTCATAGATTTCCAGCTTGATGGCGGGGCTGGTGCAGGCACAGCTTGGAGACAGCCATTTGCCCGTTTACGTTCTCATGCTCTCCAATTCTTGGGGGCAGAGCAACTTTTGGGATCCAAACTGAGATCTTGGTCCAGATTTCATAGTTGGCCACTACACCAGACACAGAGCATGTGCTTTAAGCATCCTGATCATAACTCCACCACAGAATTTGGAGCCTGATCTGGATTTTGTGGTTAAGTCTCCTTTGAGACTGGAATCATGATTCTTGTTTCTTTCTCTTGGCTTGGCAGAGATGGGCCAGAAAGAGGAATAGTTTTCTGATTCAAACTGTATGAAAATATATACTTGGCCTCTCATCCTCAAATTTGAGAAGGCTGTAAGTAGAACAGATGTTGAGATGATTATTTAACTATAATCACCCACATGCACTGTTCAGTGCTTCACCCTCGTTGGGATGTTTAGATTGCGCTTAGAGTTCCATATGGCTGAAACATGTTAATCAGTACCATACAGAGAGGCAAATAAAAGAAATGCATGAAAACTCAAATGTGAAAATAAATAAGTGACATCTGTGTGCTTAATGTAATTTACTGCCTTGCATCTTGTTTTCATTTGACTTCTATACACGGAGTGTCCGTAATTTTACCCTGCTGTATTTTATTGTAATATACTGGGATATCCGTGAGTGTAAAACTTTAGTATTGCAAGAGTTTTAGAGAAAAAATAAACAAAAAAGACTAAGAAAATAGGTACATAGGGAAAACCTCGACTAAGAACTAACCAAAAATTCCGCATCAGGACTTCTCTAATGTCTAATATGTAAAGAAGTTTTTGACACTGAATGCTTTAGCAAACAACTTTTCAAAGTTTTGAGAAGAAAATGTTGGAATATTTGCTAGCTAGCAAGAAAGCTGAGGGGTTTTTGGATCTGAAAGTCAAAACACTTGGAAGAATTTTTTTAATGAAAACCAAATTAAAATAATTTTTAGTTGACCTTTCAATAATAAAGGATATCATGCTTCAGCCATTCTTATTGTACGGATATTCATAAACAGTGAAATTTTGATCCTCTTCAACTTGGTGAGAGCTTGCCACTGACTTCTTAGATCCAAGACTTCATCCAAAAGCCTCTGCTTGCTGGTATATTTCTGCAGTTTTTCTTTTAATTAAGAAAAGGTGTATTCTTATAAGTAAAGAATTTAGGCAAAGATTAATCATTCTAAGGTGTTGGTGAATTACTGAATTTGTGAGAGTTAGTTATTTTATATTCCACCATGCGTTTCTGTATTGACGTGGAAACTGACAGATTCTTAATCCTCCATTACTTGGGCACTCGAAACAGATCACAGTTACCCTAATGAGATCTCAGGACAGATTGCATCTTCCAAACTTGCCAGATGATAGACCTTAGTCCTGGTTCAGGTGCCTCTGTGGGAACTTGCTGTGTGAAAGCTGTCAGCAGCTCTCATCTGAATGGTGCTGCTGGGTTCCCACAAAGGTGCTAATGACCAGAAACATCTTTGGCTTCTGCTTCAGTCCTGCAGTAATACTTTTTTTTTTAAACTGAAGAGTACAAATAAACATACTCTGTCATCTGAATTTAAAAGTGACAAGAAGGCATGTTGTGTAGTCATCTTCTTGCTGGTGTCTGATTGCAGGGGTTCACTGCTGATTTTGTTTTTCAGCTAGAAGCTTTTCAACCTTTCTTCATTTTCTTGAACCTTCCATACTCTGTCATTAGAGGAGAGGAGTTCATTTCGGAAGTGAACATCTTTAATTATTTGAAAGAAGAAGCTGAGGTAAAATAAGTCTCTTTGTACTTGAATGCTGCTGGACACCGCAGGGTTTTCATCACTGGTGGATACCACATCTTTCTCTTCTGAGAACTTTAATGTTTTATTCAATGAGCAGATCATACAGCTATTTATACACAGAAAACGTGACAGCTTATGAAAGCAATTTGTCAAAATTAACACGTTGTATTGCAAATGGTATTTCACAGGTTACTGTGATCCTGGATGTGAACGATGCTTTTGAAATTATTTTAACATCCAATGAAATAAACGCCACACAAAATCAACAGTCTGTATCTGTGCCAAGTGAAGATGGGAAAACTGTTCAATTCCCAATCAAGCCGAAACAACTGGGGGAGATTCCCATCAAAGTGACAGCAATATCGTCTACTGCTTCTGACGCTGTCATCCAAAAAGTTTTAGTCAAGGTAAACAGTTTGCAGTTTGGCTTCTTCCTGAAATAAATTGGTCCCTAAAACAGACAACAGAGCACAGCAAAAAGGCAAACCATTTTATTTGTCTGCCTCTTGCTCTGTAAGGTTGGTTTCGAATCAGGTGGCTCTAAGTAGAAAACACTTCATTTAAAAGAAGTCCTCCTTTTAAATTCTTCAGATTCCCTTCCAGGAATGAACACACAGGTCTGTTCTACTGGTGCTACAGCTAGCTTAATATCTGTGGAGAGTGGAAGGAATAACTGTGTTATGGATAAGTGCAATCAGTTTTGCCATACATCTGCCTGTAATTCAAAGCCTATTTTATATCAACATTTCTGTATTTTGCTAGTGGTGGGAATTCAGCCTCTAGACTTTCTGATAAACCAGAAACTGGTAAGACTTGCCTAGCTTTGAACATCTAAGTCTGATTCATGTTAGGCTCCATTTCAGTGGAAGGTGGTAGACGCTTGTACATCTCATACTAAAATAAATACTGAAGAGCATAGAGTCAGAGAATGGTTGAGGTTGGAAGGGAGTAGTCTAACCTTCCCGCTCAGGACAGGATCAGCTACAGCAGGATGCTCAGAACCATGTACAGTCGGCTTTTTAATATCCCCAAGGACAGGGAGTTCACAGCCTCTCTGGGCAGCTTATTCCAGTGTTTGAATACCCCCATGGTTAACAAAGCATTTTTTTATGTTTAAAAGGAAATCCCTTTATTTCAATCTGTGTGCATTGCCACCAAGAAGAGCCTGGCTCTGTCTTCCTTACACCCTCCTGTCCGGTATTTGTCCACAGTGATGAGATCCCCTGAGCCTTGCCTGCTCTCTGCCGGGCTGAGCGGGGCCAGCTCTCAGCCTCTCCCTGGGCTGCTGAAAACCACTATCCTGCAGGGCTATGTGCTGCTTTCAGGAGGAGCCACTTGCTGCCCTTTCTGATGAAGTTCAGTTGTGCAGAAGAGAATAAAGGCCCGTTAGACTAAGGTATAGGCTGAGCAAAGAAACCCGTTTATTTTCTCTGTTTCAGGGACAATGTTTCTCAAGGGCTTTTGTATGCATGAGGAAATAAAATCTTTACGTGCACATACCTAACTTCAGTTTAAGTCCTTGTATGACAGGCTGTGGGATTGCAGACAGCGTGAAAAGGACCACGCTGGCCTTGGCGTGTGAGCCTGCTGGAATCAGAGATGCTCTCGTTGACTTTGTGGGTGTATTTTTGCAATTAACACGTAGTCTTGAGAAGCAGATAGTGGAGGTAGGTCTTTATAAGAAAAAACTTTTATTGTCAGTGTGGAGAGGCCAATAGCTCAGGTTCTTGATGTGTTAGCAAGCAGCACAGAACATCTGACAGTGTTTGAGATCTCTCAGCAGAGTAAGCATACAGCTGCTGTCTTAAAAGCAAAGAACTGTTGGGGATTATGCTAATACTGTCTTCATTTTGGTAGGCTGAAGGATTGGAACAGACGTATTCTGAGACAGTCCTTTTGGATTTGACTGGGAATAAAGCACAAACAGTGTCAAAAACTTTGGATTTCACTTTTCCGTCTGATGTTGTAAGTGGAAGTGAGAGAGTGCAGGTCACTGCTGTTGGTAAGGATTATCTTGGTCTGTTTCCATCTTTATTGCTGGTCAGCTGTATTTGGTTTTTAAATAGTTTTTTGCCTGCTGGGCTTTTGGTGAACTGTCTAATATATATGTGTCCATAATCCAGCATTTTCTGCACTGCAAGCGTGTGTGCTTTTTAAAGAACAGAGCAGTTGCCAGTAGTAACTAGAAGCAGTAACCTCTTGTCGAGTGGAGCAGGGAGGCTGGTGTGTAGTAACCTGAGCTGCCCTGGCAGGACTTGCCAGAGATTCTATCAGAGCCTCTGCAGAAGGACCCTTACAAGATTTTGCCCAGTATGGCTGTTGCTTTATCTTTTTTTAGGGAACTGCATTAATTTTTATTGAATTGGTCTATGAATAGGTAGAATAATTTATTCAAAACAATTTACCATCATGGATTAGGCTAAGCATAGCATCCACACCTTATGGATGTAGTGTGTTGTTCCTTTAATTTATTTAATTTGTGATATTATGGTATTACTATCCATTTTCAGAGTTAGAGAGGGAGTCAGATTTTGATAAGGAAAATCCTGCAAAGTTTCTGGTATCCTGTTTTAATTCTGCTTGTGTGCATAATAAAACCCAAAACCTGACTGTTGTTTCTTGGGACACCTAGGCTTTGATAACTGTGGGTGAGAGAGGAAATACAGGAAGTTTCAAATATCTACCATTACTGAAATATTTTCCTGGATTAAATATCTTTTATATCTTTTTTTTTTTTTTTTTAATGGTGGCTGTTTGAAATTACTCTGTAGGTGGGAGGGTCTGTGGGGAGATGGGTCAGTGGGCACAAAGCTGATCAGAAGATAAAGTATCTTTTCTGCCTGATTAGTGGTGTTTAGTACAAGTGTTCCTAATATATCGTATTTTCTCCCAGTTTATGTGATGCCACCCTTTATGTGTAAGGTATGCATTTATTTGCAATAAGCTTTACTTTATTTTCATTAAATTTTATCTTTCAGGTGATTTACTTGGGCCTTCTATCGATGGTTTGTCATCATTGATTAAAATGCCTTATGGTTGCGGTGAACAGAACATGATCAATTTTGCTCCAAATGTTTATGTTTTGCAATACCTGACTAAAACCAGGCAGCTGAGAGAGGATATTAAATCAAAAGCTGTGTCATTTATGAGAAAAGGTCTGTATGCTTAAAAGAAAGATGTTAGATTTTTAAGAACTCTTACTAGTGAAAATATATCTGTGACTCTGCATACTGATATTTGAGATACTGCTCTGCTGGTGCCATGAGAACTGGAAGGAAAGCCCATCTTCTCTTTCTTTTCCTTGACAGAATTAAAGAGCAAACGATTTTGTTTTCAAGGGCAAGTTTAGTCAGGACAAACATGTTGTTTTTATATAATTTATTTTTTTGCAGATGAAAAACATATTTTAGAAGGTAATTCATGTGGATTTCCTAGGTGGTTGTTATCTCTCCTTTGATAAAACCGTGTGTGAGCAAACATTCCTGACCTCTGCTTGCGGCACAGAGGTTGGAAATTGGTCCGTGGGCAGAGTGAGACGTATTCATCCCACGTGTGTGTCTGTCTGTCTTTGGTGACACCACCCCTGTGCTGCCGTGTTCTCGTGCAGCTCCAGGAGTGGTGTTTGCTCTGGTGGCTGGCTTTCGCCCACCCAAGTTTTAGACTTGGTCAGAAGTGAGCTCTTTGCCAGGAATCAAAAGCTGGAAAATGTCAGTTGGAAATTGTTGCATACTTTAATCAGGAAATACTCCAGGGCATCACAAAGTGCGGAGAACATAGCTGCACTGTGCTTCTCTGTGCCTTTGGGATCAGACAGTGTCTGACTGTGATGTGCCGCGCTGGCCACACGTCAGTCTGCATGCTGAGATCCTGGTGCAGAGGGAGGAGTGAGACCGTCCTCGTGTGAGCTACGCCCTTGCTAAGGCACCATGATGACATTTTCAAATTTTGGTTACCCTTTGTAAGTCTTTAACATTTTTTTTGGTGATTGATATTTTTTTAAAGTTGTTGACATTTCCCTTGGAAAAGGCACAGCTCAGAATAAATTTTCCTTTCATCAAGATCCCAATTTTCTGTCAAAAGCAGTTAAATGATTTTTTTAAACCCCTTCCTGATACATGGTTTCGTTGAAAAGTAAGGGTGGGGGGAAAGAGATGTAAACAGCTACTCTGAACTTTGTAAGCAATCTACCACTCTTTGAAGCCTGAGTTGTGCTACCATAAGTTTCTGAACTTTTCCAGTAACAGAATTATTAAAGTTATTTCAAAGCAAGTGAAAATTATAGGATTAAGAGTCAGTATATACAAAGCATTGTGTTACTTCACTTCTTCCGAGGGTTTTGAACTTAGATACATGTTTTTACCAGTGTAGTAGCCAAAACAGTAAGTGTGCTGAAATCTAAGATAGACAAGAACCACAAGGTAAAAAACACTTATTTTTTTCACTTTATTTTAACAATTGGTTTCAGTTGTTGCCCTGATTTTTTAAAAATGTATTATTGAAGTTAGTTATATAAGTTAGATATAACTTTTACAAGCTCAGTTTTTGAAAGGATCATAATGAAGTTTAGTTTAAAACAGACTTTATTTCACATGTCAGAATTCACTAAATATTTGAAAAAGTGACCTCATAATCTGAAGTAAATATAATTAATTTTAAGGCTAAATTCTTGTGAGAAGAAGGGATCATATAGCTAGCAGAGACTGCTATGTGATCTTTCTTTTGGCAGTTTTTATTTACCTAGAAAAAAGGCAAAGCAAAAGGAGAGTTGCCTTTTAAAAAAATTCCTTCGGCTGTGGGAATGACAGATCCCATCTTGAAATCACTTCTTCAGAAATAAAAAAAAAAAAATCCTGATTGGTCTGAAAACTTTGGTGCTTGACCCAAAGCCAGCAACAAGTTTGAGCAGTTTTTCCAAGCTGTTTCAAATGTGAGACCTTTTAGTCTTTCGTGTGTTTCTGAAGTCCTTTCCATGCTGATGCACTTCTCCTTCAGCCTCACTCAGCCTACATCTCCCGAGTTCCAGCCAGTCCTCCGGGAGCACTAGTGTACATCTTCGTAATGGGATCCTTCTTTTCCTTGTCTTTCCTCTTGTACGTGTTGACGTTTGAAGTATCGTTTTTCAGGTCTGATTGAGTGTCCGCTGGAACGAACGTGGTGGTTCACAGCCTGCAGGTCTCCTGTTCCAGCATTTCTGCAGGCTTCCCTGTGCGGGGTGTGTTTGGAGACTCTGGCATGACTGCAGTGGGGCTGGCGTTGAGAAGAGAGCAAGCAGCCTGGAGGAAATAGCTGAGTGATTGCTCCCTCCTCCCTCTGGTTCTGCTAATTTTTATGGTCCCTCCCAATCTTAAATTCTGAGACCAGTTTATCCCTGTGTAAGGACTGCTCAGCAGTCTTTGTTAAGCAGGCTGTTGGTCTTAATTTAGTGCTTTACACTACGAGCAGGATGGTGATTATAATACTTACTGCTGTTTATTGCCTGTTCTGCAGAGAAGCAGACCACCTCATTTTTGAGGCCTTGCAGTCAGATACTTTTGAAGAGGAACCAATCTTTTTGTATATATACATATATTTGTGTTCCTTATAGCATGTTATTTTGAGGCATAAACTTTGACAGTGTCTTCTGTTTTCCCTGGTGAGAAATGCCACGCATTCCGTCTTTTTTCCTCTCACTCAAGAGTGCTTGACTCTTCGAGATCGTTAACTGAGATGACAGATTTGTCTGTATGGGAAAGATTGGCCAGTTTCAATCATGTAATTAATCACTGTCATTGTGCTAAATACTTCTAAACCCCCCTATGTTTAGGTGGAAATTGTAATTTCAAACTCTTCAAAGAGACAAAAGCTGAACCTGGTGCTGCTGGGATCAGAGCTGATATGGGAGGTTGCACTGGTGTAACGTAGCAGTTCAGATTTACATCTTTATATCTCTTCTGTTGTAGAGAGACCCTGAGTAGGATTTCTTCTTACACTGTAACTTAGATTGAGGGGCCATTTGTTCCTCAGTAATTAAGGCTTTGGCTCACTCACTGTGTGTCTGTGTTCAGGATAGTATGTGAGTGAGTGATTAGTCCTTTGTCAGTGCAAGCAAGGAACGCTTTGCAGGGGAATGGTTGTAGCTGGATGGACCTCACGGGGTGTATTTGTACATTCATTCGTGTAGGTCTTAGTAATGGTTGCCTGAAAGTTTTCTTTCTGCCTGGCTGGTTCAGTGTTGTGTCTGTATCTGTCAGGTGTTAGACTAATGAATATACTTTCTTAATTATAATAACCAAAATAGTAAAGCCAAGGAAAAGACAAGGTGGAGGCAAAGGAGTCTTCTGAAATGCTATAAATAGATAGGTTATTGTTCTGAATACACAAATGGCAAGCAAAATGGAAGGGAAGGAAGGCTTTAGATATCAGAAACTGCAGTGAGCAGCATGCCATAGGAAGTTTTTCATTACTACCGTTAACGAACATTGGTTCTGCCCTCAAGTCAGCTGTTGAGTACGAATGCTGCTGGTGGTCGTGAGCAGCTAGTGAACCCTGGGGGCTTTTTTATTATAGATGATCAGCAATCATGAGAAATCTGCCCTTGTTCTGGATACTGAAAAATCTTTGGATACATTTTAAATGGATCCTTCTCAAGATTTCAGGATCTTTAGGTCTTTTGAAATTTTCTCCTCATTTCAGAGCAGCCTCTTCCAGCATGCTTTTTCTGATAGCTCATCCTTTTGCTTTGGCAAAAGCAAGTTGCTGAAAGCGTCTGTTTTTTAGCAGCATTTGTAGCTTTACTGTAACCTTGCCCTTCCAGTTGGAAAATACTTTGTTTTTTCTTGTCCTTACTTCTGCTGGAAAGATAGAGAGCTGCTGAAGGTACGCAACTCCAGCTCCCCAAAGCGAGAAAGCACTGAACGATAGCTGCTGCTCTGCTCTGCGCTCGCTGCTGTGCTCCTGGAGCCGCTGAGCTATGCAGGGGCACGTCTCTCTGCACCCCACTGTCATGTGTGGGTGGCAGATGAGCAGGACCTTCTGGTTCTGCTTTTGTAGATGGATCCTTTGTGTTACAGCTGCCTGCTTTCTCATCCTCTTCTGTGCAGTTGTTTGCTTTCCTACATGTTTGGGAGATATTTTATGCAATACGAGCTCAAGTTCTGCCCTTTTGAGACTTAGAAAGTGCCTCGCTTCATGTCAGCAAAAAATTTGTGTTGGAACCCACGTGAGAGGAATGTGTTCAATACCTGTCTCTGCTTTTCCACTTCAGGCTACCAGAGAGAGCTGCTTTTCCAGAGGGATGATGGCTCTTTTAGTGCCTTTGGAAATGAAGATCCCTCTGGGAGCACATGGTAAGTAGTTCTGCCAGATTCACTGTGGAATTTGAGTATTTTAGATATTTTCCCTGTAACTAAAATATTTTGTGAGGCTGGTAAAAATTTCCAGCTATATTATCCTTCTGCCTAGTTTTTGTTAGGTTCTTAGGCCAACTTTAAGGCCATTCTGCTGGATGACATGCTGTCAAAGCCATTATTAGGGCAAGGCTTTTTAATTTTGCGAAAGATGAATGATGGATTATTTTAGCCAGGAGAACAGCTTGGTCTGAAAGTTTTTCTGTTGCTTTTTCTCAAAGGAATGAAGAATAATAATTAAATGACTTATTCTTGCAGTTGACTGAAACCATCTAAGGCTATGTCATCATCATTGCTTCAAACAGATTTTCTGTTCTCTCCATACTGGAGGCTGAAGACAGAGGCATTTCCTAGGGGGTGAACAGAGCTACTAGTGGAAAAATATGTCCTGCTCACCTCTCATGTACCTCCTTTTTTGAGACTGTAAATACAGATGAAAAAGCCTTTTCAGTGCTGAATTTCACCTTGAGAAGCATAGTGAACATAGTAGTGGAAGCTAGATAGATAATAGAGACAATTTCAGAGAATCATAGAATCATAAAATGGTTTCGGTTGGAAGGGACCTTAAAGATCATCCAGTTCCAACCCCCCTGCTATGGGCAGGGACACCCTCCACTAGCCCAGGTTGCCCAAAGCCTCATCCAGCCTGGCCTTGAACCCTTCCAGGGATGGGGCATCCATAGCTTCTCTGGGCAACCTGGGCCACTGCCTCACCAACTGCACAGGAAAACATTTCTTCCTAATATCTAGTCTAAATCTATCCTCTTTCAACTTAAAACCAATACCTCTAGTCCTATCACTACACTCCCTGATTAAGAGTCCCTCCCCATCTCTCCTGTAGCCCCCTTCAGGTACTGGAAGCTGCTCTAAGGTCTCCCCGGAGCCTTCTCTTCTCCAGGCTGAACAACCCCAACTCTCTCAGCCTGTCCTCATAGGGGAGGTGCTCCAGCCCTCTGACCATCTTTGTGGCTCTCCTCTGGACTCTCTCCAACAGGTCCATGTCCTTCTTGTGTTGGGGGCCCCAGAGCTGGATGTACACTGCAGGGGGGTCTCAGGAGAGCAGAGGAGAGGGGGAGAATCACCTCCCTCCACCTGCTGCTCATGCTGCTGGTGATGCCCCAGGACACGGTTCATTTCTGGGCTGCAAGCCCCCACTGCTGGGTCATCTTGAGCTTCTCATCAACCAGCACCCCCAAGTCCTTCTTTTCAGGACCGCTCTCAACCCATTCCCCTCCCAGCCTGTATCTGTGCTTGGGATTGTCCTGACCCAGGTGCAGGACCTTGCACTTGGCCTTGTTGAACTTCATGAGGTTGGCATGGGCCCACCTCTCAAGCCTGTCAAGGATGCCCTCTGGTTGGCATCCCTTCCCTCCAGCACTTCGTTCAGCTAATCTGTGTTCTGTTAGTTTAAATATATATTTCGGTACATGTTGCTGACTTTAAATAGAACCGTACTAGTTACTGTGACACTGAGTCACTCCTTCTGGAGCCGGTGAGCATCTTTCATTGACATCAGCAGGATTTGCCTTAGACTCAGTATTGATGGGTTGGAAAATGAAGATAATTTATCTGGACTGGCAACTCTGGTACGTAAATAGTGCAGTGACAGGTTACATGAATGCATGCTTGGGGAAGAAGGGAGACAAAGCAGAATTTTTGATTATTAACGAATAAAACAACAAAAGATGTTCCAATTATATCATTACAGGGATAACTGTGATAACTAACATCACACTCATAACTGCCTTACTTTGTAAACTATGATTTTTGCCACTTTAGCAGCAGAAGGTGGGAGAGTAACATTTGAACAGAAATATACATGTGCTGGCAGACTTGGAGTGTATACTCTGCGTTTATTTCTGAAACTTAATGTCTGCAGAAGGAGTGATCTTTAGTATTAAACTTTGTCTACTTGCTTGTCTGGGTGAGGCATGGATTTTCTTCTGTGCATGGAAGATGTGTGTAGAACACCTTACGCATCTCAATATCGCATAATCTTAAACTGAAGCAGCTGCAATACGTTGCTAATTTTGTCATATTTGGTTAACCTTTTCCCCAAGGTTATCAGCTTTTGTATTAAGATGTTTCCTTCAAGCTCGTCCATTCATAGATATTGACCAAAATGTACTCATGGATACAGCTAAATGGATTGTCCGGCATCAGAAATTAAATGGAGAATTTAGTGAGCCTGGGAAGGTGTTACACAGTGATCTTCAAGGAGGCACCAATAATCCAGTCACTCTCACAGCTTACGTCATGTCATCCCTCCTAGGCTTTGCAGATAAACAGGTAATGGATTTCATAAATAGGATTCATAGTTACTGGGACACTTCATAAATTGTCATACTGCCTGGCACTTGGTAGTTTAAGGAAACAGAGGGACATCTGAACAGAGACAAAATTTAACCTGATTTTGTTAAACTTCCCTGTACTTTGGTTTATTTACCTGAGACAATACAAAGTTGTGCTGTTAGGCCCTTCAATTTTATGTGCCTCTGCAAAATCTAAAGGCCGTTGCTTTTAACGAGAATATTGTCATGGCTTTAGTCCAAGAATTTGCAAAGAAATTTATGGAGGGAACTGTCCTCAGAGATGTTAAGTCATTCCAGTTGATTTCATTGGGATTACTCATGTTCATAAAAGACAGCGCCAGATCAAAAGGCTTGCCTTTGAGGTTCGTGCCTGTGACTCTGAAAGAGATTTTCAGTATTTCTTGGTTGTTCTTTGGTAATAGTAGTGTTTCTGTTTCTGTACAAATTTTTTGAAATTATAGTATTTCAATAAATATTTTATTCATGTACATTCTTCATTATGATCTTCATTTCCAGAATGCTTATGTCATCAAGAGTGCTACAAACTTTCTAGAAGATAAATTAGAAGAAGGCATTTTGAATAATTACACTTTGGCACTAGTGACATATGCTTTGTCCTGGGCAAAAAGTGCAAAAGCAAAGGAAGCACTGAATATGCTGAACCAGAGAGCAGAACACCAAGGTATTGAACAACTATCTTGTACAGTTGTATAGATGGATTTTTGTCAAATTTTCAAATACCTATCGTATTATCTACAGCTGCCTATAGGCTTAGAGATTAAGAGAATCATTCTGAATTCAGATCTGTTTTGAGTATGACATAGAGAATAATATAAGAACTACCAAGACAGCCTTAATGAGAAGCATCCATAACTGAATGACAATTCCCAACAAAGTCAGTCCTTTCAGTCTCAGTGCTGTGTTCCTGATGGAAATACCATGGTGCTATTGAAGAACATTACTTGTCAGTTGTCCTGTGCTAGTACGTGCGTTTGTAAGATCAGCCTGGTTAAAGACAGACGGATGAGATCAGCTTTTCCAAAGTGGTTTGGATAGACCAGGAAGGTATAGGGAGGCAATTAGTTAAAATCAGTATCAGAATGAAGAGTTGAAGGATTGGACTTTCTGTAAGACAATTCAGAGGTCTGTTGCATTTTCTGTGGGGACCCATCATCACATTATGTTTAACCTCTTCCGAGTTGAGCACGACTGAATTTTGCTCCCTGTTTTGAGGGAAGAACAGGCCATATGGAGTATAAGAAATGGGAGTTTTTGGCTCAAAATAGTAACTGTCCTCTTGAAAATCCTAAGGAATTAATGTTGCAGAGTAGAAGCAGAACTGCCTGGGTGTCCCTCTGTGTCTCCTGAGTCAGGCCTTTTGGTCAGTCCTTCTGGGAAGGGAGGTCACTGTTTTGGAAGGCTTCACTCATGAACGAGCCCAGTGAGCAGCTGTGCTGACTGAGGTTCCTTCCCAAGTCCTGAAGAGAAAGGAGCCCCGCAGCAATGACGTGGCCCTTTCACAAGGGTTTCTTTATGTGAGCACTTCAGGCTGACAAAAAAAAGGATCAATGTAAAGTTCAATGAAATCAATGTCGGTGACTGTTTGGACTCGAGCTTCTTTTTGTATCTAGATTCAGCTGCTGCTGAAGAAGTGCTTGAGTCAGTCCTTCGTGGGACATGTGCCTGAACATTAACACAGTTTTAAGAACCTTGCTAGATCCCATATATAAGCATTAATTAAGAGGTTTCCCTTAGGTCTTTCCCAAAAGTCCCAAGACTTCAGTTGCTGGATCTGAGGTTATTATTGGTTCCTTCTGCAGGAGAATTTCGTTTCTGGATAACACCTGCTTCTGAAATTTCTGACTCATGGCAGCCACGGTCCATCGATATTGAACTTGCAGCATATGCTCTGCTCTCGCACTTTCATCAAGACAGAATAGCAGAGGGGATCCCTGTTATGAAATGGTTAAGTCAGCAAAGAAATCACCTTGGGGGATTTTCATCTACTCAGGTAATATCTTGTCTCAAGGGGCTTTGTTATACTTTCTAAATGAGCACTGTGTATTAAAAAAAGAAAAAGAAAAAAGGGACCATTTGGTTTTTTACATAACAATTTGTGAATTTTGTTTTGCTGTAACAGTCTTGGTCACATGCAAGCTTGCATTCTTTGCAATATTGGCATCTTAAACCTGGAGCACCAGTTTTATTATTTTGGAAAGTGTAATAAAAAACAGAATTTGAGAGTCACCGTGATTATATAAATTATTAATAAGAAAAGATCTTAAATTAAGAAGAAGCAATGCCCATGGAAAAATAATTAATCAGATTTTCCAAGCAAGTATCATAAGTATCTGTGCTTACTTCCTTTCCAAGTAGAGGAACCTCTTTCTATTCTTCCCATATGTGCGTCCTGAAACTCCTGAAAGGCTATTAACTAAGGTAAGAAGGGGGAGTAGGTTTTAGAGAAACAACCTAACCTAGTGCCTCTGTTGGCAGCTGGTCTTAACTTAACGTACTTTGTCCTCATTATTGTATAGATTTTTGATGGGCCATGAAATTTGGAAGATCTTCAGTATCTCCGGGAGGTTTCCATGTTATTGAAACCACATCTTGTAAGCTGTGCTGGCATCCAGAAAACATACATAGTACTTTGGACTGCATTAGTTTAAACTAGTTTTTAAATTAACTACAAATGCTGGTCACAGTACAATGTCACATTTTATCATACTGCTTGGTACCAAGCTGTAGAGGCTATCCTTCATTATTTTCAAATGTTTGTTGGTATTAATCTGGGAGAAATTATTTCTACTAAATAAAATGCAATTTAAGAACAAGCCTGGTTCCCCTGAGGTTCTAGTATTTTCCTAGTGTGTTAGTTCTTGCTTATTATTTGAAGAGGCTGATTGAAGCACTAACTGAGTAGAAAAAACTTTTCTCTATTCTCCAGAAACTATTTTTACTTGAAAGTTTGAAAATCCAGCAGTATGCAATTTACCTCTGAGGGTCAAGTTAAGAAGTGGTTTTAATCCTTTTGTTCTTCCATAGTCTAAAGTATTTTGATTGCAAAATTACTCCAGTGTCTCTCTAGATGCCTTTTTTAATTTGTGGAAATGATCCCATACTTTTTGTTAATACTTCTAAGATTGCTTTAAAAAAATGTTTGGAGTGTTTCCTTCAATGAGTTTATGACATTAGAAATTCAATATATTATTAAGCAATGAGGAGGAGAGTAATCAGTTACATGTGTGATGTTTTGTAAGGTGAGGTGTGATAACTCACTGTATATGTGGTATAGCTTGCTATTAATTTGCAGTCAGTATGTTTTGCTTTATAGTGCTTTTAATGTTGGGAAATAAAATGTACATATTTTATATATACAGGAATAAAATTCATACATAAAATTCGAACATAGATTGAAACGTTAGGGAAGGGTAGCAGATTCTGCAGAGCCCATGTTGCTGGGCAAGAGAAGCCTGTGGGACCCTCTCTGCCTCGAGACCATATTCCCTGGCTTTTCGGATTGTGTCTTGGATGCAGTGTTGTCACACTGAGCCGTGCACCTTCTGCTTCAGCTGTGAATGTTTCCAGGTGAAAATCCTGGGGTACGCTTTCTGCTTTCGAGCGTGCCAAGGGGAACGTTTGTCTTCTCTGTAGGTGGTTCTTTGCCCTCTTCTTTTTCACCTGTCTTTCTGAGAGTCATTGAGCCTGGGATGTGTAAGGGCTCTGAAGTCACCTTCAGCAGTGGCAGATAGCATTCCTACACATCTTGAACTCTCAGTGAGTTTAGGGTGTGAAATGTAAATGTGAGAAATGTAATTGTAAGGACCTGGAAAAGGCACTTCAAGGTATTCCTCTATTTCCACAACTTAGGTAAGGGCAGGCGTATTTCTGCTTTCAGATTATTAAAATCAGATTCTCCAACAAGATCTATAGCTCCTTAGGTCTATGAGATAGATCAGATAACACAGATGTGGTAGGTCGCTGTAGCTGCATTCACTTCAACGTGAAGGAAGTTTTGTAAGTTTGGGCATCCAAGCTGTAGATCTTAATCGAAAACTGACATACGAGTAGTCTGAGTAAGGGCAGAGTCATTCAGGTGCTTTGGCACTGTCTTCTGCAAGAGAGCGATCAAAGACCTTCTTTCAGGGTAAATATTGGCCTCCTACTGAAGAAAGTCCACCACTGACTCGAGACTGTTAAATCTTCCTGTAGCCAATTAGTTGCATCTGTTCTGTCCCACCACGTTGAGCGCTGGCGTTGGGATCCCCGCTGGAGTGGCTCAGCGTTCCACCAACTTTGGCACTGTTGCCAATCAGCTGATCTTTTGGGATTTTAAGGAATCAGTGAAGCAAGTCATCTCAGACAAGGATGTGGCGCAGGAGGGAGAGTGGTTTCTAATCGTTTTGAGTGAGTAGGCAGCACGTGCTGGTACCTTAAGGTACGGCGCAGTCACCACGTAGGTATTGAGCTTCTGTTGCTTTAGAATTTTGTTACTAGAAGTGACCTAAGAATCAATAAAACATCTCTGTCTGCTGAGTCTGCAAGGCCAGGTCCTTCACTGTTGCTGGTTAAAAATAGGTGCAACATGAACTACACAAACAGCAAAAATCCCTGAGACACATTAGAGACATATAATTGATTCCTGTTTTTTTTTTTTCTATAAAATACTGGATGTTAAAATTCTCATTCACTAAACTGTGCTGGACCAGATGTTAAAAAACTGCCTCTTGTGTTCAAAACCTGCAGAGCTAAGCCTGCAATTGTACACAAAGATAAACAAAAGATAATTTTATATATATATATATGATAATGTGTTTAAAGCAGTGGTTACACAATTACACAAACCTTTTGATCAAATATAAAGTATAAAAACTGGGCTGAAACACTTACTGAGTGTATGATGAAAACTCATTTGAGGCATTAGCTATGTTAATAGTTTTTCAGATCTATAGCTTTTGCTTTGGTGATGGAGGTACCCTGAATAACTCCTGTGCAGTACTGGATAGTCAATGCCTGGTCACTAAATAAATCTAGAAAGAGCAACATCGTTACTTTCCTCATTGGCTTTCTCGTCACTGTCCGCGTGGTGCGTGACGCTGACTGTTGTGTCTACCAGCGTGTCATGTCCTCTACATACTTTGCACAAGAGGAACACTTCCTTAGCTGGCTCCCATCTCGTTCCCCATTGCATGTCTCAGTAGCTAACTTCTTGTCCTGTGTTGCCGTCCCTCTTCTGCCGCTGTAATCCCAACGGAGATGTGGAGGTGGCTGCACGAAGGCTCCAGCAAAATCAACAAATGGGAGCACGCAGAGACTGAGCTCCCCATGGCGCGGTCTATACACAGGTAGTTCACTGTGCAGGCTTCTCCTGTTTAACACAGACCGGTTTGTTTCTCAACAGGACACAGTGGTGGCTCTGCAAGCCTTGAGTCTGTTCGCGGCTCTCACTACTGCGAGCAGAACAGAAATGGATGTAACAGTGACAGCACCTTCTCTGGAAATCCCAGAAACATTTTCGATTGATACTCAAAACTGTTTTCTGCTTCAGACCAAGGAGGTACTGTAGAAAGTGAGGAATACTTTCCTCAAGTCTGCTGACTGAAAGTGCTTTGAAAAGACTGTTTTACTCATCTCTCTTTCAGATTGCTCCTGCACAACCAATGACAGTTACGGTGGTAGCGGAGGGAACAGGATTTGCTGTCTTTCAGGTATGCAATGCAGTTATTCTTGCTGAAGATGTGCTGTCTAGAAGGAAGGTGTATTTCAGAAGCTTTGTAAAACATGTTGATAAGAACAATCTTCTCAAGTGTCTTAAATCAGTACCAAAGCACTTTGCTAATTGAAGAATGCCGTGAACCAAATATTGTTTGAACGGACATATTCGTGTGATTGTTTGTGTCCAATGGCCTTTTAACTACTGCTGGATGATGGACAGTTTTGGGGCACTTCCATGAGCCAGAGCCATATCAAAGCAGCCCTGTCTTGGAGAAATGCAGTGTCCGTTGGCAAGACAAAGGACTGCAGTGATGCACTGGCAGGCACAAAGGTCGCAGTAGAAAAGGCACGTGGACCAGGCATGAATGCCATGTTGGGAACCTGTGGTAAACCATGGTAGGGCACAGGTCAGTACAGAACAAGATTACAGTGCTAGTTATTAGAGTTATTTTCCTTTTATTGAAGTAGAATACAACAATAGTGCAAAAGCTAAAAATAAGAGTATTACAGCCAGGTTGTCCAGCAATTTTTACACTGTTCTGAAATAGCGTGAAAGACAGAGTCCAAAGGACACTGCAAACTGCCAACAGTAATAGATGCTTAGCATCAGCCAAAAGCAGGGCCTGGCAAAGAGTGGAAGGAGGTGCAGTGATCCCCTCACTGCCTGTCCTGCAGAAGACTGTGTTTCGGTAGAATTCAAACATCTTTACTTACATTTAAACAAATAAAGCTGGGATAAGTGCATACTGCATTTAGAACTAGCAAACCATGAACAGCCTTTTATGCTTTTCAGCTGTTTACTCTTCCCCTGTTACAGAGATTATGTTCTGAAGAAATTCCACCTCCAAGATTTTCCCTAGCCCTATGAGAAATATCATATGAGAAGAAGACAGTGTTGGATCTGGGTTGATATGGCCACTAATGGATCTCTCTTCCCTTCTGTCCTGTCCATGATACTGGCTTAGAACCACACAGGTGAAAGAGAAGACCTTTGGAAAGCTACAAATAATACAGAAATATTAGTCTCTGAATGTGAGCAGTAGATAAACTCATCATTGCTGAGTGTATCGCAAAACCAGACAAGAGTTCCTACTAGTTCCCATCTAGTCGTACTTGAGGAAACTGAACTTGGGCTGCCTTTAATGGTCACAAAGCTTTGTGCCAGGTCAGATTCCATCGCAAGTTCTTTCCAACCTGACCTTCACTTCAGTGTTCTTACACATCTGGGAAACAAAAGATGTGGTGATGGTTGCTAAATATGCTTCTGGGTAAAAGACCTTTACAAACAAATCTTCAAGCTGCCTATCAGCAGTGAACAGCAGCTAGAGATACATCCCATTCATTCAGCACCCATCTGCAAAACCCACAGTGCCATAAGTCGTGACCCATGTTTATTGATTCCCAGAAGTGCAGATGAAGTTTACAACAAAGCTCAAAAGTTTCGGAGGATAAAAGATTCAGAACTGCAGGCCAAGGCAAGAATGAACATCTCAGCAGGACTGCATTCACACATCTGTGGTTCCAGTGTGTGTATATGTGGAATGTAGCAAAGCGGGGCTCCAGAACAGTTGAGACTACTTCAGCTTAATCATTGTTGAGAAATGCTCCCTGATATTAAGTCAACTGATTTGTCAGAGAAGATGATAAAAAACTTTTCAGCAAATTCTGTCTTGCTGGAAGACACCGATTTGTTGAAATGAATGCCTTTTGTGGAAGAACATTGGTTCCAATTAGGTTTTTGCCATCAGGAAAATTTCACATTCAAACCATCATGTCTGGTTAAGGCTGAGCAGAAGTCTTCCACTCAGAGTAGCCAGCAGTTGGCTGCGTGGTTAGAGGGCTCCTTGGGGTGTATAGCACTGTGGTTTAAGGTCCCGGTTTGTTGTATGAACGTACAAATGTGCTCCAAACTACAGTTACCAGTGCCAGGTTATCTTCTTCATGTAGGTCACTGTGCTGTTGCCTTTTTTTCCTGCAGCTTTGAGTCAGAGATGCTGTGACTTGATTCAAAACATTGTCCTTAGCACACTGAAGTAGCTTCTCCAAAGCCCTTTCTTTGCTGGGATCAGTTTCTTCCTTCTGCTTACTTTGGCAGGTCTGGTATTATAAAAGAAAGATCATTGATGCCATTTGAATGAGTTTTCTCTTTTTCCCAGACACAAGCTAGATCTGGGTTGCATTTAATAAATCAGGTCACATATGACATTGCGATCACATTTCTTCAGCTGGTTTTTGTTGTCTGAGGCCTGCCAGAGTACAGTGGTGAGATTCACTGGTCTGGGATTTGACTTTCTGGCCAAATTTAGCGTGTCAAAACAGTAATTCATTTAAATATCACAAAACACAAGATTCGGTCCATTAATGGAAAAGGCTGCTTTCCCAACAGGATAGATTATAAGAAAAAAAAACAACCTTAATTTTTTTGTGAAATCTCACTGTCTGGGTGTGTGAGTTGGCAGTGCATTCACTCTTGACTCTGCAGGATCTCATAAAATCTATTTATTTTGGATAGCACGATTGCAAAAGCAGACATTTACTTGTAGCTCTGTGGTCCTGCTGTCAACAAAGTCTCCTAGCTCGTCCCTTCATTGTGTGGGTGCATACTGTGGATGACTTGAGACACTGACTCTGCAAGAGGAAAGAGGATGATTGTAGGGTTGGGGTATGTGAAAGGAAGGAGTCGAAGAGGTGATCTTACCTAGGTGATGTGCTGAAAGTCTTGGAAGAAACACCTCTGTGCTGTCTGGAACCACTGTGAACTGGGCTTGGGAAGTGCCTCAAAAATTTTGCCTTCTGGAAGGAAGGAGAATGATGCTGAAATCCAGGACCAGCAACAAGGGGAGGATGGGCAGGCTCAAGGAGGAGGAGTGTGGGCAAAGTGGATAGGTGAACAAGATCTCCTTGATCTCCTGGTCATGTATAGAGAAGGAGGGAGGAAAAAACTGAGAATCACCTAGTACTCGTTGCTGAAGAGCACTGACTGTTTTTTCCACTCAGCGTATTTTAACAAGGTTTAGGCTAGGGACTGGATGTTATTCAGTGTGATGGTACTGAGAAAGGTACCCTGTGAAATGCACACATACTTCTCCATTAGGTTTGAGTGGATACCAAGTAGTCAAAAAGGGACAGAAAAATATTGGAGATAATGTCATTGAATTCATGCTCTCAGTCAAGCACATTTGTGCTGCTAGTTGAAGAAGAAGAAGGACAGGGAATCAGGGCTTTATAAATGAGGAATGTTTTTTGAAACACAGCGCAGCTGATTGGGCAGATGCTGTTACAAACATCTCTCTCATGCAGAAGATTAGCTTTTAGTTTTCTCTTTTTGGGCCTCTCACCGGAGCTGGTTGCAGTACGACAAGACTGGACCAGTTCTGCCTTTAGCTTTGGCAGCTGCTTCTTCAAAGGGTAAAGAGGAAATTCAGTTGCTCATTTTGTTGATTTAATGCGACTTTCTGTATAATAGCCTTCTGTCCCCAAAGTAAGAGTGTATAAAGAAGGAGGCTTTAATTAAACTTTGTGTTGTGAAAGGGATTTTTCCTTCATTGTCATGAGAGATCAGGAAAGGAAAGTCAGAATGTAGCAGCAATACCTTATTCCATGAGAAGACAAGCTGACTGACCTGTTCAGCATGTGGTTTCAGACATCCTGCGTTGGCAGTAGGTTCCCATTCATTAGCTTTTTCTGGCAAAAGTTAAAACAGCTTTGTTTCTGTGGTGACAGATCATTGGGACACTGCCAGCTTGTGTTACCAAACCTTCTGCCTGCCTCGAACTGTCAGGCTTTCTAGATTGGCTTCATCCTTGGCACTGCCTTCTCCTGCAGAGCAGTGTGTGGGATAAATCTCCACTGCCGCACCGCGGCTGTCCCGAGTGCCTGTACAGAGCTGGCTCTGTACTCGTGCAGCATGGTGAACTCAGCCATGCAGGGCAGGACAATGGGAATCACGTGTGTGTAGACTGAATAAAGAGCATGACTTCCATATCAAGAAGTGAGAGGCACAGCAGCAAAAGCGAAAATCAGAAATTAAAGACTCCTCTGTTTGCACAGTTCTGCTAGCCTATAACTGGCTTGTTAACCTATAACTTGGACCACCTCCTGTCATACCTTTACATTTGGACTGACAGTTTTCCATTTGCCGCTGGAAACTGTTGTGAAAGGACTGTGATTTTTCTGAAGCACTCTTCATTCATTTTTCCTTAGCCAAGCAAAGTACGTGTTGGGGTCTTGCAAGAGGAGTTATTTGAGCCACCTTACGATTATTTTTCTACCAAAATCAAAGAAGATCTCCCCCTGCCCTGCCATGTGTTTTATCTTGGTCACTAAAGGAACAGATAATGTTTATTAGTTTGTATGTGAAAACTGTATGCAAACTTACTGTTCTGTTGTTGTTGAAAATCACTATTTTGCCGAATAACGTCAACTATTTTTGATAGTAAATATTTTCTTAGTTTCTTGTATTTGATTTTTGTCCTTCTAGGATTTTGAATGTTCAGCTTTCTAATTTATCAGACTGAAGTGCTGAGTCAGCAGCCCATTGTCTTGTCCTCTGCCAGAGGTGGTGGTCTGTTTGTGCCACGGCAAAGGGAGGATGCTGCAGTTACCATCAACATTCCATTGGATGTTAATCAGTCTGAAGCACTTTAATGTTTTCTCAAAGTTAAATTTCAGTTTTGTTGTCTTTTATTGGGTACATGAGTATGCTAGAGCAGATGTGCTGAGCCAACTGATGCAGTTCATTGTCCTGTGTGCCACAGTGGCCAGTGGAGAGAGGATGACTAATGAAGGCTAATAGAACAGGGCAAGCGTGAAGTGACATCTCACTGGTATACCCTCTTGCCCTTCACAAATTTATGGCACAGGGCCTTCCCAATCCACAGGCCACCTCTGTGTGCTCTCTCTTCGCGTGGTAGATATTTCCTTGATAGAAGTTTTTTTTACTTCCATAAATATATAACTTTTTAAGTATTTCTAAGCTTTTAACAGTGACAGCTTCTTGTGACAAGTAGTTCTGCAGCTAGTGGTGTATTGCCTGAAGAAACACTACCTCCTTCTCCTTTTGAATCTGCTGCTGTAGTTCTTGTGTTTGGAGAGAAGGCGTAGGAGGGACCGTGTGGGGTCACAGCAAAGCTCAGTCTAGGCCAGCGTTCTGTTTTCCACAGCAGCCAGAGACAGATGCTCAGGAGAGAGCAGAAGAAGACAAGTATGTGTGATATTATCTGACTGTCTTCCACCTCTTACCATGTGTTATTTGAGACCTTCAGCTGGAGATAGTTTCTGTGGTGTTAGAAAATTTCAGTTCCATGAAGTTGTCTGTTTTGCCCTTGAATGCTTGTACAGTTTAGTATCTGCAGCATCTTGCGGGAAGGAGTTCCGAAATTTAATCTTGCATTGCATGAAAAACTGTTTCCTGTTCATCTTTCCCATGTTGGTCATTATTCTGTAGATTTTTACCATGTCCTTCTTCCAACTTGCCTGTTTATGTTACATTGTAATTTTAATCTATTTTACCATTTCTTAAATGGTAACCAGATCTAGTAGCAATCAGTTCAAAACTCATTATTATGTCCATAAAAATATTTCATTCTGCAACATTTTCCAGTAATCCTAGTCTTGGCCAGCTCAAATTAGTATAATCAGCAAACGTTATCAGATTAGGATTCACCCTGTTTTCTATATCATGTATGGGTGTGTTTAATGGTGGTCGCCCAGCACAGATTCCTTTAGGACTGCACTCCTTCCATCTATGAGCATTCATTCCTG